ATTTCAGAGATTGTTATATTGCATGGTGTTTCATGGTCTATTATTTCTGATCGAGATCCGAGATTTACTTCGAAGATTTTGGAAGGTGCTACATACGGCTTTGGGAACAAGATTGGATTATAGTATATCCTTTCACCCACAAACTGATGGTCAATCTGAGAGAGTGATTCAGATTCTGGAGGATATTGATTTTCATGGTAGCTGGGAGAACTTTTTACCGTTGGCTGAATTTGCTTACAATAACAGTTATCAGACCAGTATTCGTATGGCACCCTACGAAGCACTCTATGGGCGAAGATGTCGCACCCCGATTTGTTGGACTGAGTTGCGTGAAAGGAACACGTTATTCAAATTGATTCGTGACCGTCTGAAAGAGGCATTTGATAGACAGAAGTCTTATGTAGATCAAAGGAGGAAATATATTCAGTTTGAAGTTGGAGATCAGGTCTTTTTAAAAGTATTACCCTGGAAGAAAGTATTGAGATTCGGGCGTAAGGGTAAATTGAGTCCAAGATTTATTGGACCATTTGTATTTTGAAGAGGGTAGGACCTGTTGCATATCAGCTTGAGTTACCTCATGAGCTCAGTCGTATTCATGATGTTTTTCATGTATCAATGTTGAGGCGATACCGTCCAGATCCGGGTCACATCATTCAGGTTGAAGAGGTAGAGCTGAGACCTGATTTGTCATATGAGGAGAGCCGTTCAAATCTTAGAAAGATGAGAGAGTTCTTCGGAATAGGCGTATTCCAATGGTAAAAGTTCAATGGAGTAACCGAGGCCCCTCTGAAGCTACTTGGGAGACATTGGAGTCAATGGAGGCTCAGTTTCCTCAACTATTCTTATAAGGTAAATTTCGAGGACGAAATTTCTTGCAGAGGGGGAGAATTGTAACAACCCGAAAAAAATTATTAATTAAGTAATTTGGCGAAATTTGAGGATTAAATCGAAAGTTTTTAAAATTTGTAGGCCATTTTAGAAGTTGAAGGAAATTCAGGACTAAGCCCTAAATTTAACTAAAGAGTGTCGGCAAGTTATGTGGTTTATACATGCACCGCGTTTCTGATTTTAAAATCAGAAATTTTTGTAAACAAAATTCCTCCTCCCGCACCCTTCTTGCAAGTCCAATTCCGACGCCGTCCGACCTCCGATCTTCGAATCGAAACCACCATAGTGTTCATTTTTGAGCCGTGAACAAAACCCTGTAAATCAATTATAGCAAAACGCTTCCAAACGCTATTAATTTAGAGTCAAAGTATCGACATTTTTTAGCACCACCGCCGAGAAAATCTTAAATTCATATCCGATCGTTGATCCGTTTTCGACACCTCCCACCATTGTGTTCCTGGTGTCGTTCCGAGTCCGACGGTGTCCTCGTCTCCGTAGGTGCCGGCGCGTGAGGGAGGTGAAGCGTTCAAAGTTCTGATTGAGTTGAAATCGAGCTCTCCATCGTTCAAAAATTTGAACTGAGGTTGGTAAGTGACTCAAAATCGCTTAAAATAATTTTTAGAATTTTTTTCAGGAATATTTGGAGTCCGGAAGAGCCTTCACGCGCCGCCCCTGCGCGTGGTGGAGTTACGAACTGATGGGTGATGTTGTTTGATCGGTCGATCCGGTTTGACCCGACCCGGTGACATTTTGACAATTATTTTGAAAAAGGTAACATTTTGGGAATTATTTTAAAAAAGTGACATTCTGGGTATTATTTTGAAAAATGTGACATTCTGGGAATTATTTTGAAAAGGTGACATTTTAGGAATTTTCGAATGTGGACTATTGAACCCCTTGACCATAACTTTGACCGGCTTTAAACAGCCATTAAACGATCCTTTGATTTTGTTCGAGTATACCTATTCTGACATTTTTTGATGTGCCAATCCGTTTCGAAGTCCGTTTCACCAAATTCGAACCTGAAGGCCTCCAAATCATCAGTCAAACCCATTGACTTTGATTTTGACCAAGAATTTGAATTTTTGAAAAGTCATACTTTATGTTTTTCGACGTCCTGATTCCGATTCCGCAATCTGTTTCATCAAATTCAGACTCGAAATCCTCCAAATTGATAGTCAAACCCGGAAAATGCTTATATACTTAAGAATTTTAGCTTTGATCAATTAAGTAAGACATGGGGTTGATAAATTATTATTGTTTGAAGGTACAAGAGACTCTCCGGGTCGTTCGACAGCTCGACCTAGCTCTTCTAGATCAGTTAAACCACGTGTTCCAGTATTCACCGTAAGACCCTTAAATTTTATGATTTTAGAGATTAATTATGTTACCCATTAGTAATATAGTGTTATTATAAATTAGGTTCGAAAACTGTAGCAGAGCGTGGTGAGACCATCAATCAGTAGATCTACTACTTGAACCTATTATCGAGGTGTGTTCCCTATTTATTACTGAACTGTTTTATTTGTTTTAATATGTGGTACACTGAATTCTTTGGTTACTGTTTTATTGATGCACCGATTTAATGTGATGGTTTATGGATTATGACCGCTATATGATTTTGTTTTGAAATGATATATGATTATCATGTTTATGGATTTATGGAAAGGTGCAATTGAATTTTTGGAATACGAATTTATAAAGTACAGCTTGATCAAGCTGGAAAATTTTACGGACCTAATGTGACTCTTAGGTAGGCTCTACGGCCCTGAGATCATTCTCGGGTAGGCCCTACGGCCCTAAGATGTGTCTTAGGTAGGCCCCACGGCCCTAAAATATATCTTGGGTAGGCTTTCAGGCCCTAAGATGTTCCTTAGGATAATTCTTTTATGAGATTTACTACAGTATAATTTTTATGAGATTTACTGGACTATGATTTGTTTAGTGTACCTATTATGATTTTATAGTAATGTTGGGACACACTGAGCCTAGCTCACTTTTCGAAAATGTTCTCCCCTTTCAGATACTGTTGGTTAGATTCATCTGATTGAGCACTTGGAGGATCAACATATCTCTTGAAGTATATCGTATTGTAATGTTTTATCTTTTAAGTTGACACTATTTTGGTAACATGGCCTTATTTTAATGTATTGGATTTTATAATGATTACTCCTTTGTTATTTATATTTGGTTTATCGTAAATTTGGATTTTTAAGACATGTTTAAATTAATTTGTTTTTTCATTATATTTATGAGTTGTATTTTTATAGTATAAATTATTATAATTTCATAAACGTCATTTATAATGTGATTTTACCATGATTGAATAATGGTTTCAGAATAATATCTTTAAGAATCATGAATGTGATTCACTAAACTTAGTTGAAACGCATAGATCGGGTCTAGGGGGTTACAAAAACATTAGATGTACTTGGTTCGATATTTTTTAAGTTTGAATTTGAAGATGATTTTGGTGACCCAATGTTACATCTTAAGCTCACAATATATTATTTTCCAAGTATCATATAAACTATCCAAATATAAAATTATTATATTAATATTAGAAATATGAAATAAATAATTAAAAATTACTATTATCAAACAATATATGAATACTTAATTTTTTTTACCAATAATAGCATTTATATAATTTAAATTCAATATTAACAAAATTTAATAAGTTATTTTTTAATATTTAGAAATTTATGAGCTACCAAAATCCTCCAAACACATGTCAAGTACGTTTGAACACATATCCTCCTGAATGATATAATAATAATAATGATGATTATGTCTAAAAACTCAATTAAAAAATTCTATCACTTGAAAATATAAATATTTGTAAATTGAAAAAAAATAATATTTTTTTGATAAACTAAAAAATGTAAGTTCTGAATTTTCAAAATTTAACTTTAAATAATGAAATTATATTAATATTCTTGGTCAATTAATAAAAATTAAGTATTGAATATAATCATGTTTCTTGGTAAAATTATAATTTTATTTTTGAAATGATTTATTTATTAAATTCAATCAAATTTATATTTTATATTATTTTTATGAAAATTTTTGGATAGATTTTAAATATGATAATTTTATTTATTTCAAATGTAATTTTTAAAAAAATAGTTTCAACTTAACTTTTCTTTTTTCAGTAATGAACTACAGGCCTACTTTTTTATTCGAGTTTTTTATTGAAAAAATTATTTTAGGTAATAAATTGATTTGATTATTAAATAAATTTATAATTTATAATTTTAAACAGTTTATTTTCTAGTGAAATGACAAAGAAATTTTTTAATAGTTTTGTCAAATATGTTAATGTTAAGTGTTAAAAATGAAGTACTTAATTTTATAAGCATTTATTTTTTAAAAATTTAATTTGTCATGTTAGTAAAAACTATTTAGTATTAATATGGATATAAAAAATTAAAAATGAAGAAAATTTTCCTCTTCAATGAAATTGAAAAAATAATAATTTATTTAATAAGTCTTTATTTTATTGTTTAAAATTCAACTTATTTTTTAAATATAATAAATTAAAAAATATGTTACAAATACTATTTTTTATAAAATATTTAAATTATTTAAATTTATTTATCAATTAGATTGCGTATCACAAGGTAGTATATATTCAAAAGATTCTCAATTATTTGATAATAAAAATTTTATAGACGTCGTGTTCGAATCCAAGAACTCTAATAATAACAGTTACACCTAAACACACTTCGAACTCATGATCTTGATGTCAATTATTAATGTTTTCTTTATTAAGTTTGATCATTAGTGAGCATTTGAAAGACGCTTATCAATGTAATTTAATACATGAAACTTTAAATTAGTTTTGTTTTTTGAAATTAAAATTCATCAAAATTTACAAACTTTTGTATTTGTTTTAATTTTTCAGGTGGGTTGAAATCTACGTATATATTTATACATCCTCCCTCTTTTACTGAGTCTTTATTTGGAACCCAACAAATCCGATGATATCAGACCAGTTCAGCTCATATTGCTAACCCATTTCAGTTCCAACTTTCAACAATAATCTCTCTGGTTCATCTCTCTCTGGTTCTTCCCTTTCATCACATTTCTTCATTTTCATCAAATTTCTTCCTCTTTATCCGACCACTTGATTACAAAAACAGTCTTGAAAAAAACCCATTCCCCGGTGTTACTGATATGCAACCATGACCCTGAAAGGTGGCGCCACCAGTGCCTGCGCCGCATGCAAGTACCAACGCCGTAAGTGCATCCCCGAATGTCTTCTGGCTCCTCATTTCCCGGCCGATCAAACCAAAGTTTTCCAGAACGCTCACAAATTGTTCGGTGTCAGCAACATTGTTAAGATACTAAGGAGCTTGGATCCTTCCCAGCATGCTGAGGCCATGCGTTCCATCAAATATCAAGCTAATGTACGTGATCGGTTTCCTGTCTATGGTTGCCTTGGTGTTATCCGTCAACTTTATTATCAAATTCAGTTGGTTGAAGAAGAGTTTCATGCCGTACTTACACAGCTCGAGATGTGTAGGCAACAACAGCAGCGGCATCAGATTTCGTCCATGGCGGACTATGTGATTTCTCAGTTAGAATTGGACATGGTACCGCCTACTAATGCTCTTCCTGTCTTCAATCAACCCTACAGTATGTACAAGGATTCTCCTAAAGAGAACAATTCCTTGTGGATCCAACATCTTTTTCTGGACACAAATAATCATAGCAATGATAGTCCAGTTGCCATTCAGTCTCAGTTAGTTGATGCTCAACACGAAGTCGTTCGTGATTACGATGAAATTCGTCCCTTCATTGACGACGAACAATCTTATGTCGATTCCAAAGATAATTATGACTCCGCCAGCTAATTGATGTATCGGACTCAAACACGTAAATAAAGAGGAGAATGTTTTTGCGATTCGAGGGTTAAATGGAGAGAAAATGCAGTTTTGAAGAATCACTGAAAGAGGCAACGGAATCAATGGTTGCAGAGATGAATTGAAGAGTGCTGCTGCTTGCTTCACTCTCACCACTATTAACTTATCATCAACCCATTGCAACTTCCATTCATTCCTTTCTTCTTCCTTGCTCAGTTAAATCTTACAGTATATAGTGCATATCTCCCAATTTTTATTTTTCCCCCTTTCAATGTAAAGTTTCAATAGATATATACATATTATACATATATTTTGGCGAATGATTTTATATTCTGTACAATAAGAGTTATTTCTCTCTTTGATGAATCTGTTTTCTCTACCCAATAATAAACGTTTTGCTTTTGAAATTTAGACGTTCTTGCCCCACGCACACACACCCACGCACACGTGAAAATAACTATTTAAATTAAAAAAAAATTTATTAAATATTTAATTAAATAGAGATCGAACTAAAGAAGGATTACCCCATATTCTCAAAAGTTTTGGTCGAATTACAATTTAGATTATTGTATTTTTAAATATTAGACAAATAAACATCACTTTTAGAACTTTTGAGTTTAAATACCTAATAAACTTTGCACTTTTCTTAAAATTTTCAAGTTTGATCCATGTCAACATTCAATCCTGGTTTTTGGTTTAAGTATATGATCTAGTGAGTTGATAAGTATAAATATTTATGAAAATGATATTAAAAAAAGCGATAAAATAAAGTTAGTATCCTTCTAAGAATGCCGATTTAATAAATTGTCAATTAGGACTTGTGAATAGCCATCATAACATGATATGTGTATAAGTTTTCATTCTAAGATGAATTCAAGTATGGTTTCAGTAAGGTCTGTATCACGTTATTTGTATTATCAAACCACATTCATAAGTAAAATTTTGTGCATTTATTTGTGAGAGGTTTATCATATTATTGTGTTGTAGTTGTCTGCTCAGCATTAATCATTGTTTTCTGGAACGAGTCCGTCTTTCCATACTATCTAGACCTCCTCTTAGAGTTCTATGCTTCATATAAACTAGGACTAAAATTACCTTGATTGGGTATTGTATGCCTTGGGCGTTGGGGTCACTACAACAAAACTGGCTTTTTTTGGCCTTTTTTTTTACCTAAAAACGCCGCTAAAAACACCTGCGGTGTTTATCAAAACGCCGCAAAAAGCGTCGCTAAAGTTCGCGGCGTTTGTTATCGAAAATGCCGCAATAGGTGACGATATAAACGCCGCTCAATAGGTGTTGATATTTAGCGGCGTTTGTCTTACAAACGTCGCAATAGGTGTTATTGTTTAGCGGTGTTTTTACCACAAACGCCGCAGTAGGTGTTGATATTTAGCGGTGATTTTATCATAAACGCCGCAATAAGTAATGTGATTTAGCGGCGTTTTTCTCACAAACGCCACAATAAGTGTTGAGAATTAGGGCGTTTCTCTAAAAACGCCGCAAAAAGTGTTGAGATGTATCGTCTTTTGTAACAAAAAAAACGCCGCAATATACCATACATTTAGCGGCGTTTTTAGGATACAAACGTCACTAAAGGTATGGTATATAGCGGTGTTTGTATCCTAAAACGTTGCTAAATGTATGGTATATTGTGGATTTTTGTTACAAACGCCGCTAAATAACACAAAATTGAACCAATATAAAAATTTTGTTCGATTACCCAAAATCTATTTTTTCAACCTGTTCCATTATCCAACAAACAAAACAACAATAACATCAAACTCTATATCCATAACAAGCAACATCAAATCCAATATAATAAATAGAAGTTTTCATTAACGTAATATAAGTTCAGTTAAACACGGTTCAGTAACATTAACAGAATGCTCATAACATAAATGAGACTACGATGGTGGATTCTGAGGTTGCGTTTTCTGTATCATATGCAACATATCATTGAGTCATTTTTCAAATTCTTCACATCTTTGCTAATATGCCGCTTCTCTCTGTGATGCCACTATTTCTCTCTCTGCTTCCGCTGCTGCTTTGACTGCTTCGATGATGCTTTCGATGCTTCCGATGTTGCTCTCTCTGCTTCCCTTGCTTCATTTTCCACTTTCAAGTTAGCCATTTGTTGATCCATCTCAGCCAACTTTTCTTTTAAACGACTAACTTCTAATTGGGAAGATCGAGACTGTGATGACATGTACTGTGATGAACTGGATCCAAAATATTAGGTGGGAGTAACGAATGATCCTTGACAGCGCACCGACCATATCGTTCAGGACCAAAAACGTCATTAATAGCTTGGTTTTCAATGTCATCAACATTAGCAATACCTTGACTCGAAGCAGTAGCATGATACTCTACCCTTTTCTCCCTCAATTTTTCCTAATAATAAAGTTAATAATTAATTAAAATAAAAATGTCATGGTACAAATATAAATAAAGTCAGGTAAATTTAAAACATCTACCCAATAAACGTACCATAATTTTGCAGCGTCAGTAGTCATAGGAGAGCCATCCTTCTTCGTATGTGTCATGTCGAAGTGTTGGATTCGGCCAACTTTATAACCGAATGTATTTTCCTACAATGTACCATAATATAATTACTATGAGTTATATGTACATGGAATACAAAAAACTATGTCAATAATCTATAATACCTCCTCATGAGCATACTAGCAAAGCTCTTCGATCCAGCCGTGTGCGTAAACTTTTGTTGTTACCTGCTAGCAACACCAACATGCTCTCGGTCCTACAATATCAAACAACCACTTTTAATGATGATTTTCAATTCGTTACAATTATGTCTGAAAAATGCATCATACCTGTCCTTTTTGTGAACTCCAAAATCTGACTGCATCTTCCCATTGGTACCTGAGCATTCCTGGTGGGATTGTTTGTAGCTTCTCTTTAAATTTATAGTTCTTTTCTGCTCGTGTATAGACCGGGGAAAGGGAACAACAATATTAAAATAATTCTTGTATGCATTTGAGGTTTTCAATTCATACACTAGATTAGAGTTTCATATCTTCTTTCAGTTGGCTCATTATAACAAAGTTTACATTATCCTTTAGTTTAGAATTGAAGCTGACATGACATAATCTAATCTATTTAACTGTATTTAGTCTATGGCGTCAACACAACTAGCATGAATGACACACACACTTGGATCAAAACTGGATTCCAATAAATCAATCAAAATACCAACAACCAAAATGAAACAAAAAACCTATCAGACATGTTAATAATGACATTCGAATAAACAAAAAATAGAGCTAATCACTAACCTTAATACATTAACGCTTTTAGGATTGGGGTGAAGGATCTTTTGTATCAATGATTTTTCCCCAGGAGAAAACCAAGATGGATGAGAAAACTGGGAGCACTAATCTGCACATTGAGAAAAGGATAGTTAGAAGTTTCACAGTTATATTAGCACTGCTACCAAATTCTCAAGGGCTAACATTAAGTTGAATAAACATTAAGTATGAAATGGGTATATAGATAACAAGGCAAGTACTCACTACAATTTACAACTCAAAAGAACGGAGGCAAGTACTCATTAGTAATATTTAGTCTAAATATTACTGTTGGTTTGTTTAGTGTGAGAAGTGATTTGTTTCGGGATGCTGGCTTATTCATTATTGTTACTGAAAACTGAAAGACAATATTGAAGCAATGATTGAAGAAATTTATTATGTGAATTCTTTAATTTTATTGAAGCAATGATGAAGCAATGATAGGTTCAGGAGATTAATAATTTAATTGATACTCCTAATATGCTCAAAATAATTCCATGGCTCAGGCATAATGATCTCAGGTACTGATTTATCCTCGTTAAACTTAACAGAGAATTGAAAACCATAAATGAAATACAAGAGAAGATATTGAATAAAAGTTCAGATAATTGAAAACCAAGATTAAATTTATCATTGTTAAACTTAACAGAGAGTAACCTTCCCCTAGATGCCTAAAAGTTGATGGTCAGAAAATTGGAGCATATATAAACTTGTTTTTCCATAGTCCTAATCAAATATGTATCAACTACAATCTCTGATTGGCACAAATTTTGAATGGATCGCAAAACACCACAAAAAGATTGTTCAAAGATACAAATTCATATAAGCTAATACAACGGAAAAACCAGTCATTAACATCAATGGCTACACAATTTGCAAGTTCCTTCCCCTTGTTGTAGATGCAATCCTACTAAGTTTGGCTGCTAATGCAAATGAATACGACCTACGAATTGAGTACATTTCTTATCGTGCAGTTGCAACTGATAAGCTAATTAAATAGAACCCAATGTTACTTAAATAACTTACTGCGAAAATGAAGCAGCATCTTCTTTGATGGTAAAAATATGAACTACACAAAATCTGAGAAAACCAGTTGTTTATTAACTGAATATGACAAGCCGCTTTTTTTCTGGTAAAAGTGCTATCCTAGAAGACACGGGATTCTTTAAACAATATGGAAGCGGCATGAAGAAAAACATGAAGGCTTAGAAACTTATATGCGTGCTCACTGCTGAACTACTCAATACTATACTAACAATTTTCCAGCAGTTCAGAACTACAAAACTAAAGCAAGCAAACAAACCCATCACTGAAAAACGATTCTCTTAAAGTTTAGACGCATAGACATAGTTATTTACATCTAAAATCAAATAAGACATTGATTAGAAACGCAACAAAAGGTTAACAAAAAAGGAAACCCCGAAAACCTTTTTATAGAGATAAGATATGGAACAGATTTAACAAACAAATTCAACTGAAAGGCACTATCTTTTGGGTGATTAGCTGATCAATCAAATACTATGCTATGACTATAAGATCAATTGGAGTGAGATCAGAGTACCTGAGTCGTGGAATAATTTGAGGTTTAAGATAACAATATTTAAGCTTTGAAAGAATATCGATCAAGATAAGAAAAGTAGACCAAACGAAAATCAGTACTTGCCTATCATTGCTTCATCATTGCTT